GTAGTAGTAGTAGTAGAAGTTAGTAGTTAGTAGTTAGTAGTTAGTAGTTCGTAGTTAGTGGTTAGTAGTTAGTAGTTAGTAGTTAGTAGTTATAGTAGTAGTAGTAGTAGTAGCAGCAGCAGCAGCAGTAGTAGTAGTAGTAGTAGTTCGTAGTAGTAGTAGTAGTAGTAGCGTAGTAGCGTAGTAGCGTAGTAGCGTAGTAGCAGTAGCATTAGTAGCATTAGTAGCATTAGTAGCAGTAGCAGTAGCAGTAGCAGTAGAAGTAGCTGTCGCGTGGAGTCAATAGAGCACACAGGTTTTAGGGAAGCTTGCATGCTGTCGCATGTTCCGCAATTCTGCTTTCCGCCAAGAATGTCTTGGATGGACTGGCTGCCGGGCGAAACTCTAGCATCCAACAAATCACAGGGCCGGTCCACATGTGTAAGTCTGCTATTTCCTTCATAAGTTGCCTCACAGTGTCACAGCTAACAGTTACCAGCTGCTTTGAACCAGAAATCACCGTCAAAACAGTGTTCGAGCACCCGGTCCAAACTCCATCGGCCAAATCGAATACGAAGTTCCGTTAGGAATCTGTGAAGCAGCTCCATGCTGCTGCTGTTGCTCCGATAGCCTGCTCCGCCTAGCATGTGATGATTGCCGAGGCATATATTCAGGGTGATTGCGAGCCTGCTGGGCGCATGTATCATCGTCACCTTTGAGGTGCGCTGCATGCGCCCTTTGCTGATACGATGCATTTCAATAGAATTCTTTCTTCATCTGCAGTTCTTCCAAGTGTAGGCAAGGTTGGTCCATCACCACTCGTGTCCGCTGCTAAAATGATCAACCTTGGGCCTGAAGATGTATGGACTAGACTCTAGTGACTCTAGCCTGGCTTCCACGCTTCCCGCAACCACTTGAGTTCCAAGCATCGTATGTCGGTCAGAACAAATCTACCAAGGCCGTGATGGGTGTGCAGCACCTGCTCACTCGTCACAATTTCTGAAATGACCGCGTGGGGAATGATTAAGTTTGAGAAAGCAAGGCAACCGAGGTCACAACATGTCAGCCCCCATCACCTCCAAAGGCTCCGGTGAATGAGGAAGTGGAAGCCACGAGTGACTTGGATCCAATGGAGAAGACGTGCTGCGCGAGCATCGGCGGAGACACAAATGCCAGCAAGAAGCCCGAGGTCGTACTAATTTGAGGGTGAGCAGCTCGACAGTATACAGTAGCAAAGAGCCGAAATGTGCCTAGGCCATCCTAGGCTGCAGGTGACTGGTGCAGTTGATACTGCCGGGCTCCACCAACTCCGAGCAAGGAATCGCCGAGAATCTAGCTCTTTTCTAATCCAGATTGTCAAAACCCGATTAATCTACGGTAGCTTTGAAACTCCTAAGCGGCATGGTAACAAAGCACCTCAACATCTCATGCAAGCCAGGTGTTCAGGTCTAGCTCTTACCAGCAGCCCTGCCAAGATACAGCCACATGGGACTTGTTCGTGCAGGCGTTTACAATGCCAAGCCCCGAGCCATGCTTTGGGTGAGGGTGCAGGGTTAAGAGGCTCAAAATCCGGGACCTTGCTGACGATGGTGTTTCGCACGGCAGCAACGAAGATGCTGGTATCCTTGGCAGAAGACTAACCTCATCCAGATTGGGTGCAATCAGCACTCTGTTTTGGCGCGTAATATAGGTGTCCAAGACATTTCATCGCATCACCGATTCGGAGGAGCTGCAACGAACTATGGAGTTGTTGTTGCGCTGCTTGCAGCGCCTTAAAACATCCAATGTCATTGTCGTCTGTGAATTTGGACAAACCCGCGCAGCCGCACAAGCGCATCTGCAGATGCTTCGCTGAAACATCTCTTCTCAGGCCTGTTACCGGCAACACCATCCTCTGTGCTTCCATCGGCATTCTCTTTAGTTCTCTCGATGCGGCCTCAGCACCAACTAGCTCGTGCAGAAGAGTTCTGTTGCGTAATTGGAGTGCTTGTGAGGAGTTAATCCGCATGGATTCTTGCAGATATGCATGCAAGCCTGAACACGGGGATGTGCACAGCTACTTAGCCCATGACTCGACCGTCGGGGCCGCTGAGCGGCTAGCCAATTGTGGTTCGTCGGTCGCTACATATTTGTACGCGGACCATCTTCCCATGCTTGCTAGTCTTTTAGCCCTCAAGATTGAAAATCAAGAAGAGACCCGAATCCTGAGCTCTACTTTCCCTGGGATACAGCTGTGCAGATGCCCGAGGTTAAGCGGACGATCATGAGGCCGACGATAAGAGTGCACGCGAAGTACCGAGATGTTGGCCAGAGCATGCCCACGTCAATGCCCACGATCCAAAAAGGGTTCAGTGTCTTGACCTTCGAGAATCGTTCTTGGGCTTCTCTTCAATCCCGGCTGTTGCAGCAGCGCAGGTTGTTCTATCGCTATGCCATCCCGTACAACCAGCGGCCGACGACCTCCGTGGAAGCAAGGAGGTTTCAGCTCAGGCAGGGCATCAGAAGACAGATCCTGACGAGAAGAATCTCTATCTCAGCATACTTACAGTAACATATCCTTTTCCTCCGCAAAACCATCCAAACCTCGTTGCGCAGGTATTGGCATGAGCTGGCAGAGATGGGCAAGTGGACCTGCTGCCGTCTCAGTGCCGACTATCGCAGCAGATCGCAGCACAGAGCCGAAGCACTCAAGGCGACCGCCAGTACATCGCCTAGCTCGCAGTGAACCAAGGTATCATCGGCAGCTTCCTGGGCTTCAGTGCTGTCGTGTCCATGTGCATGTCCGGGGCTCTGTGCATGGTCTTTTGGCCCTTGCCCTGCGGCGTTCCGGTGACATGCGGTGACTGCTAGGCTCACGCCACAGCCACGTGCTGCTGCGGCCTTCCAAGCCTTCTGGTTCAGCTTGTGCGGGACTTGGATTTGTCAGCCGGCAGCCGGCTGGAGGAGTCGGCAGAACAAGTAAAGCATGAACGCATCAGCGAGGGGTATCGGTGTGCCCACAATCTTCGCCATGGCGCATCAGAGTCCAAGCTTCTCGCCGGTCTAATCCATTGAAGCAGACGTGATGACAGGCGACCAGAGTCAGAGAGTATGAACAGCGAGATACGCACTTGAAGTGAATATGAGCAGTGCTCGCCGAGGGTTTAGGCGGCCACGATTGCACACTCTTCCGAATTTTAAGCTTTTTTGCTGTCAGGCTGAAGGCAACAGAACCGCAGAAAAATCGATGCTGACATCGTTCAAAAGGGGCTATGGTTTGTCCAGGGTGTGACCCGACCCAGGATGGCCACCCACTGGGTGTTTCCACTCCTGCGCGGGGGACTGTGTGCCCTCATCCTCACTGTTGCGCGGACGAAGGCGCCAAGCAATGAAGAGCCTTTGAGACATTCAGGTATGAATAGCATGAAGCAGTGTTGAGGGGTAAAAGTCCTTTAGAGCTGTGCAAGCGTTGGACACTGTCAGTATGGATCCGGTAGTCCCTTTCTCGCGGTCATTTGCTGCAGGCGACATTTGATGGCTGGCTGACAGTCTGGCCGCCACTTGGTGCTGTCTAAAACTGCAGGCACTGTGCTAGTCACTGCTAGTCCACGGCATCAGACTTGAATGCATCTGGGTTTGCATTTAACATAGATGTTCAGTTCCACGCCGACTCTTCTGTGAGAGAAGTCTCGGCAATGATGAAAGCCTAGGGGCCTGATGAACTTTGAGTATGTGGGCATCAAGACCACTGAGTTCATGGCCGAAAGCTCGGACGAGACTCCACCGGTTCCTCCAAACTCGACAGAAAGACTGTTCCGATCCACAACGTTTTTCCCAGCTCGCCCAGTTTTACATGCGGTCCATGGAAAGGTCTGCACATTGCAGTTGAGCTTCCACTTTCAGCGAGGGCTTGGCTGGGCGCAAGCCTCACTTGCCGAGGTCTGGCGCGCACAACGAATCGCCGCCGAAGAGGAGCTCTTGTTGCAGGCAGCAATGAGCAGCAATGAGCAGCAATGCAGCAGCGTAGCGCAGCCGACCACTGGAGCTCGGCGAGCTTGGCTCCGTTTCTTCCCTTGGCAGGTCTTTCCAGACTTACCCAACATCGGCCGCAAGGCCCAGAGTGCAGGGCTTTCGTAAACATCTTCAGGTTTTGGCAAAAGGCTGTGGAAGTGTCTGACTCATTGGTGTTAGCAACTCCTCAGGCCCGCAAGGGATGCTCCATTTCCCTCGCATCGAGCAATATTTCGTCATGGCTTCGCACAATGCTGAAGCGATTCGGCGAGCTCTTGCTTTATCTTGAGACACGCTGGTCCGGAATCTGGGTGTCTTTGGTTTCATCACCTGTGCTGCAGTCCTAGCATGGGCTTGTGAACCCGTCATGGGTGCAGCGACATAACGTTTGATGTTTGTAGTTGACGCTTGAGCCAGATTCGAGACCCGATGGAAGAGGAGGAGTTGGGCGGCGCACAGGACTGCATGCATAGGGTCATGGCACAGGCACGTCACGTAAAGTTTGTGCCGAGGATCCCAACCAGTACGTCGCGAGCATGGCATTGGAGGAGCAAATGGCCTCCGGCGACCTTAGGTGTCAAACTGTTGTAGGATTACTTGGTTGAGAAGGGTTTTTTTCAGTGCCTCGGCTTGAAGGGCAAAGGGGCGATCTAAACTGCCGTAGCCGCACATGCAGCCTGAAACTCGAAAGAACCGCCCAGCCTTTGCCGCCCATGGATACCACGAGTATTCCACAGACTGGCTAAGATTTAAATACAACTCCTATGAGTTGCATCTGGGAGCATCTGGGAATCAAAAGCAGAAGGAGAGCAGACTAAAATCGGGACAAGGTCGTAATGCCCCCGTTGTGTCTCCATTGCTTCCGCAGAAGACAGGTGTCAAATCTGCAGTTGCTATTCTGCTCCTGCTGCCAGGATCGTCGGTGAGCGCGGCCTTCGAGACCGACGAAGAATCTAAGGTGCGATTAGCGCGTGCCTCAGCGACCAAACTGCACCGAGGAGTTGCTTGTCCGCGCAAGCGAGGCCATTACGGCGCGGTAAGCGAGTCGCACATGGAGTTACTGTACAGTGGTGTTTCGCTCCCTCAGCAGTGTTCAAGCATGCTGGCGAGCGTGGCTTTGATTAGTCAGGAGTTTCACTTCGTCTGCATGACGATGACGAAGCTTCGTCTGCAGTGCATGAACCTTGGGAGAGTCAGCCATTAGATCAAGTTTTAGCATACTGCAGGAAGACTCTCCAACCTGAGTAGGAGGATGCGGCCTTTTTCGGCGATGCACAAATCGAGCGAACTACGCCTGCCAAGTTAGACGATATTAGACTAGCACACGAGAATCATCATCTGCTCGAATTTGTACCAGCATCGAACCGCCGCAAGAGTGTGAGCATTGCACAGACTTTGTCGGTGCGCTGTTCTTAGTATCAATTTGCAGTGTCCGATTCGCTAGGCCTGCTGACTGGTTTCTGCTGCTGTTTGCACATTGCACAGACAGTCGGAAAAACTAGACGATTGTTGGCTCGTGTCAAAAAAACGAGACGAATGACCGGTGCCGCGCAGCACCCCGCAAACGAACACAGCAGCTTAACACCGTCATAAACCGTCATTTCTCGTGCAAGCTGAAAGCACTAACATCCGAGTTGCCCACAGTAAACATGTACATGCAACCCCGGGCTAGACCCCGAGAACAGCGGAAATTCACCCAGAGCCTTGGCATGCCTGATGGTGGCGGTACACGAGTCGTGCTGCTCAGAGCCTGCTTTCTGCTGGACGAGCCTCGTGCTGTGTGCATCAAAACTGTCTCGAGAGTTTGACACGGAGTTGCTAGGTCCAGCGGCTGGTCTCGCCGTTCGAGCAGTGGGCTCGGAGCAATGCTGACCCGTCCTGCCCTGCTTTCAGAGAGAGAGAGAGAGAGAGAGAGAGAAAGGGCCTGGACGCTGCCCGACCCCCAGTGCCGGTAGAGAGAGAGAGAGAGAGACAAAGCTGTTTTACCTGAGACTACGGCGGACAGGGCGCGCTCGCGCGCGGAGTGGGTAGGGGTTCCTGCCTGCTCTTGACTGTGTGGAAGAGAGAGAGAGAGAGAGAGAGAGAGAGAGAGAGACAGAGAGAGAGAGAGTTGTGGCCACTGTGAGGACGCCTCGGGTCTTTGAGGCTCTCGTAGTGGAGTCAGATCGACACCAGCAGGTCCGCGAGTCTTCCGTGACCTTAGTCTCTTTCTTGCCGATCAGAGCATCACACACTGGCAGAATCCAGGAAGTTGTGACAATAGCATGATGTCACATGCTATGTAAGCATTGTGCCATGCGTGACAGAGCTGGGAAACAAAGCTGGCAGGCTCTTCCCACTGAGTATGTGGCGACCATCAATCAGCATGCAGAGGGCTCAGCAAAGAGAGAATATACAGTAGGAAGTATCCTGGGCGGTAAGGGCAGCAGTCGAGCCCCGTGTAAAAAATCCAGGGATCGCGTAGCAAGACAGGTGGCGTGTCGAAATCGGGTGACTAACTTCCACCTTCGTAGAATCATCTGATTACACCATGCCAAACACGGATGACCACTGGCCAATGTTTACCTGTATGCTCCTCAAGCGCTACCAACTTCCCCCCTGTCCCCCTTTGCCTTACCTGTCCACGCACATCTGAGATTACCTATATTCCGCGCAAAGACATATGCAGACAGGTGGTTCTACAAGGTTCAACGCGCAAGTGTGCGAATGTGCCTGTGTGTGTCTCTCTGCGCGATTGTGTGTGATTGTCTGTGTGTGATTCTGCGTGTGGGTGTGCCTCTGTCTGTGTGTGTGTGTGGGTAAATCGCTGAAGCCAAGGGCACTTTTGACAGTGCAGGGGGTGCCAGGGATGCATGCTGCACTGGCACCAACGAAGACGCCAGCATTGCATCTGTGAAGCGAGTCAGGACGCTGACTCGTGTACCTGCTACGTACAGAACAGAGTGAAGCCGATTTCAATTGCCGATTGAGTTGCAGGATTGTGAGAGGATGTCCTGGACAGTAGGCTACGAGTGTAGGAATACCTGCTATCCCATGTTTGGCTTCGGTCACTCGAGGGTCAAATCAAGTGTGTACTTCGGCTGGTTTTCTGTCGAAGTGCCAGTCGTGAGGCTCCAGCTATAAGATCCAGGACTAAGAGAGCTCGGTCGCCAAACGTATGAATACTCACCTTCGGGTGCAACAATTCTCCTAAATTCTCTCCTGCCTGAAGGATGAAACTGTCGGGACAGTGTCTACTCGTGCTCCCAAATTGCGACATCCACGAATCATCAATAAGTGAACTTGTGACTCCGACTCTACAACTTGTGACCCCAGTGTTTCGCAGCCATGAAGAAACGGGCAGAGTAGGGAGGCCTGCGGCTTTGGCCTGCGAACTCCTTCTCTGACCCAACAACGAAGCTACGGTGTTTGGGGGCTGCGGCTTTGCGTGCGGACTCCCACATTGACCATTTCACTATCCAAAGACTTTAAGTGTCTCTGTTTTATCTCTGCCTCCTTTTCCCTTTCTCTCTCTCCCTAACCATTTTAACCTAAACGCCAGGTGAAGACGCAGTGCTACCCCTTCATGGGGCAGCTGTGTGTGAGTAAATCCCTGAAGCCAAGGGCACTTTTGACAGTGCAGGGGGTGCCACGGATGCATGCTGCACTGGCACCAACGAAGATGCCAGCATTGCATCTGTGAAGCGAGTCAAGACGCTGACTCATGTACCTGCTACGTACAGAACAGAGTGAAGCCGATTTCAATTGCCGATTGAGTTGCAGGATTGTGAGAGAGGATGTCCTGGACAGTAGGCTACGAGTGTAGGAATACGTGCTATCCCATGTTTGGCTTCGGGCACTCGAGGGTCAAATCAAATGTGCGTTTGTGTGTGTGTGTGTGGTTTGTGTGTGTGTGTGCGCGTGTGCGTGTGCATGTGTGTGTGTGTGTGTTTGTGTGTGTGTGCGCGTGTGCGTGTGCGTCTTCGTGTTCGTGCGTGCATGCGCGATTGCGCCTGCACGGAACTGCTGAAGCAAGGTCACACGTTGTTGTTTGAGAGGATGATGACCAGTGTCAGCCAACATCCACGAAACAAGTTAGTCATCCCGGAACCAGCCTGGATTGGCCGTCTAGGTCTACCTCTGTCTACCTTCAACTCAATGCAGTTTTTGCAACACCTTCATCCTCCACATTGCTCTTGGCTCATACTCGCTAATGGTGCCGCGCAGCTTACAACACGGCCTTCGTCGACAGCTTTATCAAGCTTAAAAAGGTGGCAGAAGTCTGGAATCTGGAATTTATTTATAATTTAAAGTTGTTAAGTTTTGTCTGGGGAAATGACACTATACCCCAGTCTCTCTCCCCATCTTGTCTCCTAGTCGGATACCACTTCAAGCGTCGCACTTTCCGTCTCGTTCGTCGTTTCCGCGTCTCGTTGTTTCACCCTTTTCTCCTCTAGGACAAAAGCGGAAAGACAATGCATGCAAGATGAAAAAGAGGAGACGGAGGACTAGCATAGTGACAGGAGAGACAAAAGTCCATCATTATGCAATCCCTCTCGCCCTATACTTCGGCACAGTCAGGCAAGTAGGAGGACCTCCGGGTTCGGTTGCGACTATGAGCGCGATCAGTGAGAACTCGGTCGTTCAATATCGTCCACACTCTTCGAGCGTGCGCAAGCCTACGCATGGGCACTTGTTTGCCCAAGCCCGTTGCGCATGGGAACATATGGGAACTAGGCATGCGTGGAGCAAGGATAGAGCAACCGTCACATACGTTTTTTGTTATTTACATAATAGCCTTTGCTCTGGTAGGAGCGAGCGAGCTGCCCTTTTTGTTGGCTACAGTATATATGTAGTATATTGGCTGCGTATTGATTGCTTGTTGACTTGTAAATATGGGGGTCTGGGTTTGGGTTAGGGGGGGGGTGGGGGGGGCAGGTTGTCGTTTTTAGTTTCAGTTGTCACTTCGTCCGGCCCTGTAGCATGATTAGACTCCCGTGGGAATGAGGTTTGAAATTAAATCCCTAAGTTCTTGACTCATTGACCCAAAACCATAACACCCCAACATTGACTGAGCACGTTATTAAGTATAACCCTAAACCGTAATATTGAATGGCTGTTGACATGTTTTGTCACTCTCTTGCAAAAGGGAAGACAGCCTGCAACCAAAGCCGTACTCACAGTATACAGAAAGGTCCATGGCACATAGGCCTACAGCGGCCTCGCATTACTGAGTGAGGTCTGGCTTGCTGTAGCGGTTGTGTTTCTCGATGTTTCTCGCCAAACGGTGTTTCTTCATGTGCTCCATACGGATGCCTAGCATTAGTTGACTTGTCTAGCATCGTGTCCTGCTTGCAGGTTCGAGGCAATCACATGTTTGAGAACTGGTGTCCCGCGCAGCTCCCAGAGTGAAAACGCATTGGGTTTGGAACAACAGTGACCCTTCAAGGTCTCGTGAGATGTAGAACTGCGCATGAATGTCTTAGGTACCTCCGCTCAGTGTCTTGAACACCGGGAAGTTTGTGCCAGCACTCGTTTCTACAGCACCGGCCCACACTCGCTAAGGTCATTGTCGAGGCGGCCGATGGCGAGCAGTCAGTTCCAGCCTCAGGGGACCGGCAGACAGCAGAGATCAGGGTTGACTAGGGCATCAGGATCTGGTTGATCTGGATCTTAGGGATACAGCATGTTTGCATTTATGAAGCAGTTGCAGTAGCGCTTGTTTCGCTGTAGGAGTATGCAAAACCGAACGCATCGTTCGCGTGTGCGCTATGTAGTCACTTGGTCACGCGCGGGTCCTTAGTTCATCTCGAAATCTGGCTGTTTAAGAACATCCGGCAGCTGTTTGCTTGCGGTCTCTATTGGCAGTTCGGAAGCGATCCGCCCAAGGCCTCGGAAACGACTTGTCAGCTTATCATGGTATAGTCAGTGGCATGCACTCCCCATTCCTTACCCCAGAAGGCCTTCAAGCCGTCTTAGATCAGCAGGTGTGTTGATACAGCCTGATCCAGTACTTGCGAACCCGACCTGGAGTGCTGACTAGATTGACTAGATTATCCAAATCTTTGTGGTCCTCCCATCGCTGCAGCCCAGTGGCTTTGCCCGACATGCAAAAGCTGCGAAACATGCACCGGTCGCACTGTCTCTCCGATGCGTGCAACATTGCAAGAAAATCGTGATGATGGAAGACAAATAAATGAAGAGGTACTTGGTTCGGTTTGTCCAACTGAGCCTCCACAACAGCTGTAGCGATGTCAGCGTGAGGTGTGGAATTCGGTTTGGTAGAACTTTACACGCCAGCTAAGTCGAATCATGAAGACTTGTTGGATAGCTGTTCCATGATTTGTTATCAATGACGCTTTCACAACTCGGGCCAGTAGGGCCTGTGATCCTCTCTGGTCCGTCAGTTCAAGTCATTTCCGCTTTGTCCCAACCCACGAGGTGCTCCATATTGACCCGCTGCACATCCGCCAAGTACGAGCCCGCGTGCGACAGGAGCGTCGTGCAGCGCATCGCAGCGACAATTAGCTGCTCGCATGACGGAACACACACAGAGAGAGAGAGAGAGGCACACCTTGGCCGACCTTGGCTGTGCAAATCGCCTGGCACGATCCCTTCACCTTCCGCACTTCATTACTGACGTTGGCTCTGCCTCAGGAGCTTTGTGATGTGCAGGCGCTGCTGACCCGGATGCAAACATGTAGATGCGTGGATTGCATCTAGCTCGGATGTGAGTTTGTCATGTCAGCGGATGAGCACTTGTGTTGGCCTTGCGTCTTGCAAGACGTCAAGCTGTGCAGCTACAGGAGAAGAGGGCGCGTATGCTTCGGCGCATCAATGCGCTGCGTGCAGAGCTGCCTAAGGCCACCGCAAAGAAGCCGATTTTTTCAAGACAGATCACGTCATAGCCAGTCAAGGGAGAGTCGCTTCCAGCAGAAGTGCTGTCGACCGCACTTCACAACTGCATGCACAGTAGTGTTGTGCAACAGCAAGAAAATCCACTCTGAAATAAGGTGTGTTTGGATCATGTTGGCCCGACCCCGCGGCATGAGGATTTGTCTTTGGGTCACATACTGTGCAAAAGTCCGGAAGGCCGAGCCATCAGTCTCCTCTGAGCGGCTGACGAAGGAGCTGCGAGAAGCAGAGGTGGTTCCCGTCAAGTTGGGGTCAGCACTCCGAATTCTTCCGGCATGCTCCCGGATGTATCAGGGAAAAGAAGCTTGCGATTTGGTCTGGGCGTTGCGAAGAGGGGTTCTTAGTTCTTAGCTATGCGCAAGGTCCGCAGCCGGGAGCCCCTGGTCCGACCCTTGCCAGCCGGAACGCAGCACCTCTTGGCAGCTCGCCTGCATCGCCGGTGCACCACATTCTTGAACTTTGAAAGGGTCGCCCTGCCCCACCGCCAGTTTACAGGTGTTACGAGGGTCTTCGTCTGCCGTTCGATGCGAGTCTTTGGTCCGGTGCAGCAGGTTTCCGACTGTATTTCCAGCACTCCCCCAAGCTTCGTCGACGAATCGAGATTAATCTGAGTTAGCCGAGTCGGTGTTCATGGGTCCACCCGCAGATATAACAACACGGCGATCCGCAGCTATCCACAGTTTGTTTAGTTAAGAAAAACGCTTCACGCTTCTTTCACTTCGTTCAGTTCGTTTCGCCGTTTTCTTATTTCGTTTAAATTGAGTTTGCATTCTTCGCTCGTGTCTTTTTATTTTACAATGAAACGATATGAAAAGCAAGGAATTGCCCGTTTTCTGTTTCATTATTACGATGCTAGTGGGTGTTGATTTGGCCTTTGCGCCCTGCTGGACTCTTGCAGCTTGCATGGGAAGCTTTGCTGGCGCATCCTTTGGACTGCATCCGCAAGCCTGCCGTTTCACTTGCAAGTTCGGCTCTGCACCAGGTCTTCGTCGAAACGTCGGCTCACATGGTCCAGATGGATCTGGTGTGTGCTGGCCTCAAGAGCCATTGCCAGCATTTGCCAGCCCCTTCAGATCGCTTTGTTCGCATCGATTAGTTGAAATACGCGTGGATGAGCGTCCGCATTCAGGAGTCGCGCTTAAGGCATGCAGGGGCAACATGGACTCACGTTGTGTTTGCGTTTTGGCATATTTTGGCCAACATCTTGTCAGGAGGTAAATTTGCATCCACGCTGGGGTTTTGCAACTCGGAACCCGGCATGGCATTCAGCCTAGCCGCTCGACCCATCAACCGGTTGAACGTCCACGCTGATCTTTGCATGTCCGCTAATATCTGCTGACAACGTGACACTCGGGTTTGGCACTGTTTTTATGTGATGAAACAGTAATGCAGTTTTGGTTTGCCGACGGTGGAGTTTCGGTGCATGATTCTTGTGGCTTTGGTTGGCCAGCCGTATACTCGAGTACCACAACATAGCTCAACAATGCAACCAGCGTCGCCTTGCAGATTCGCTTGGTGTGTGAAAAGCAGTGGTTTCGGCCAGTTGTGTGTCGAAAATCACCACAAGGTGCGTGAAGCTCGGAACGTGCCGGCAAGCCGGAAACTGCGGCAAATTCACTGCGAAAAATTGAAAAGACAGCAAACTAGGCCGAAGGCATCAGCCAAAATGCGGCGTCTGCACTAGTCACTACTGACTACTCTTTAGTTTTTGTTGGACCTGTGTGTGCTGCCCTGATGTTTCGTTGGCTGAAAACACATCGCATTCGGGTGATGCATTGATGTCAGGAAGCGCGCGAACAAGTAATGGACAGCCTTATCATTGTTGGTTGGGTAGGGCCTGGTTGCAGCACGAACTTATTCTCTGGTGTTCGTAGCTGAGTCCGCCCGAGCCACCCGCTTCGAACACCTAGATTTTTCTCCCTCCCGCCCAAGCATGGGCACCTCCGTAGTGTATAGGCTTCGGGCCTTTTCCTTCCATCTTCGTTGCGCATGGAGGGGTTTGCACACTGACGGGCATCCTCTCAGGCATTGTGCACAGTGTTGTTTTCCTTCAGGTGTTCTGCTAGGTGTGGGTCTCCCCACCTCAGTTACGTGCCAAAGCCGTCCACATCTTGCCCTCCCCTCCCACACCTCGCTCCACCACACTCCTCCCTGTCCACAGACCCTATTGCCGCCCGCCCCCCCCACCCCCCATGTTCTCCCACTCCTCTAACTGTTGTGCAACTATTGTTATCCCCCTTCCCCCATGGCTTACTCCCAGCCAGACCCCTTCCACCCTTCCTCCCCTTTTCTCCTCCCCTTCCCCGCTCACCTCAATTTTAACCCCTCCCTTAATTTTTACCCCTCCCCTCCCCACCACTCCCTGCCTATTTCCCTTGCCATCCCTTGCCCCTCCCCCTCTCCCACACCTTTCACCTCACGTCTAGACCCTCCCAGCCCAGCCCGACCTGCCGGACTGCCAAATGTTCTTCCTCTTCCTGGGACCATCCAATAAATAACGGATGCCCTCCCCGAGCCTGGAAAACAACAAATTGAGAAGCTCTCCCTTTGCACGAGCATGCGACAAACCATGGTAATCCTTAGCATGCGAACTATGCAAGTCCCTACCATTGCCTCTGCTGTTAGCTGATGCTACGAATACGACGACGACGACGACGACGACGACGACGACGACTGCTACTGCTGCTACTACACGTCTTGCTCGTCGTCATTGACCTGCTTGCAGTCGTGTCCGTAGCTGTCCTGCTGTATTGCTTCCGACTACCTGATGGTAGTCCCCGCACACCCCCATTCAGAGCAATGATGTTCTGCTTTCCGGGGGGGGGTACGATCTACTATACGCGACTAACACAAGGGACTGCTGCTGCGCTTGCTGCTCCTGATGCTACTGCTGCTGCATACAGCTGCCATGTTCACGTTGTCGCTGCCCATCTTTGCGGGGAATTAATGCTTTCGCGTGCCCTCAGCGCCGTCATTGACATCTTGCAAGTTTATGGTCGATGCGCGAACAGGCATACGCCCATGCCTCTACGCCCATGCCTCTCCACAATAGCAACCAGCCCTGCTGGACAGCTGCTGCGTGCTAGGTCAGCACCTCAGAACCGAGCTGCCGAAAGAAATGGAGGCCCACTATCAGCTTCGAGTGTTGTGAACGATAGCAGCGTAACCAAACCTGTGACTTGTGAGATGCAAGAAACAATCAGAAGTCTCTGTCTACGTGTATTTTCTGCGGTCCTTACTGTCGGCTCGTCACTCCAAGCCCCGTCGCAGGCGGCTGGTGTGTCCATGCTGACCTTGGTGATGGTAGGAGACAGCTCTCGAAAGACTGCAGGACAGAGCGTCGGATGCGTCGGGACGTTAGAGGCCAAACAGTTTGGCCTCCTACCCTCTTGAGCCTTGTAACGCAGCCAAGACCTGGCAGCGATCCCGCAGTCCAGATTCGGGCCTGCCTCCATCTTGGGACGACAGCGACAGTCCAACTGAAGCTCAAGTATGCCTTTGAACCGTCGAGAAAGTAAGATGACTGCTTGCTTCCTAGAGTTGTCGTGATCTTTGCGGGAAGGACCGAAGCTGGAGGCTGCAAACTCGGAGTGCAAGCATGTCACTAAAGTCTTTTTGTCATTCTCTCATCCCGTTGTTCCGCGGTCTACATTTTGTTGGCCACCCTATTAGCTCGATCTGGTATGGTGTCCAGGTTGAAATCGCGAAGCCATTGAGCAAGGAGGGGCTCCAGGTGAGCATTGTCTGAAATTTGCAGAGTTTCATACGTTTCGCCCTAGCACTAACCTGCGTGGTAGCGGACAGGCATTCGAAGCGTGGCTTGATCGTCTTTGTGATGCACAGCACCTGGGCTTCACTTGGTTCTGGGCATGTGCCCTTACGGCCTTAAATTCACACCCGCTGCTACTAGAGTCGTCGCACATTGCCAGCACTACTCTCTTGTGTTTTTTTTGCTGCACCCTCGCTCAGGTACCAACTATGACTATGATGACTGCTGTTACTGGTAGTATGGAGCAGTTGATTTCTATCATGGTCAATCCGCGCAGTCTTGCTGTTGCTGTCTCTGTCATGTTTGCTACTGCTCATGTTTCGTTGGCATGGATCGCTCAACATGTCTCGGCCCCTTCGGTGGCGACTCACTTCTCCACGCTTGCAAGGTCTGCAGAGGTAGCAGCACGAGCGAAGAGGAAGACGAAAGGCACAAGATTGGGTGAGTTTCTGGTCAGATCTGCGTTTTGACGGATCCGGGATTGAAATCGGTAGGCAACGCTGATCCGTGACTCTAGGATCGGTGTGATTTTGCGCAGCAACTGCTTGCAGATTGGAACACGAAGTCCAGTCAGCAGTCATCCTCCTGACTCCTGAGGCTTGAGCATGGTTGCCCGTCTTGATTCCAGCACTGTGCCAGGCACAAAGATAGCCCCCATGGCAGCGAGCCTGGTTCCAGTCGCGAGTTTGACGTGGCAGTGCCAAGGGCCCCCGCCCCCTCGCGCCTGGGTGAAGGCCCGACAGCTTCGGAGAGCCATCACGGCAGATGCTTTGGCTGAGACCCAAGAGATCACCGGATGTGTCGCACTGCATCACAGACCCAAGCGGTCCCTGTCCCTTCACGTCCTCGCTCATGCTTCCATCAGAAAAATTTCTAAGACCGGCCGTGGGGCGGCTATGTTCGTCCTTTGCTCGCCACCAGCAGATGCAGAGGACACATGCCGATCAGGTGCTGAAAGAGGCGTCATCATCAACCGTGTATGCCGCTCTTGCTTCTGGGAATTGGATCTGACGGCAGGAGTGCGAGGTGCTCTTGAGACGAAGCGAGTGCAGTTCTCAGTTTGATCGGCCGTGGGATCATCTCACCATTTGCCTGTCTCAGTGCAGAAGTCCTCTGACCACATGCATGTGCTTACGAAAACCACCCTGTTGCTATGTCGGCCTAGCTCGAAGAGCTTTGGGTTCGCACCAGGTTCACCTTGCAGATCGCAGGGGTGCTGGGAGGTTGTCCGCAGGACTGGATTTGGCTTTCTTTGGCTTGACCCAGTTGACTCCACACAATCCGTAAGGTTTGCTCGAAGTCCGAAGAGCAGACTTCCTTCTATCATGGGAGGGATGAGGTCTCTAGGTCTTGTTTTCAAGAAGCCCGCTAGAGAACTTCAAACGCGGGACAGGATCCGGAGATTTGCTTCGAGCGACTTGTGAAGGTGGCCGCTGCAGGCCATGGACCTGGGCCCATCGTTACCGGGGCACCGATGCGGTAAACTTTCGGCTCTACAGGTCTTTTCAGCGACCCTAGCGTAGAGTTGCTGCTTAAGTAGCGGTGGTGGGGGGATTGTTCATGGACATCCTTCACATCGGCTTGCAGGGTCAGGGGGAGGCTTGGGGAAGAGGGCCAGCACCAGATGAGTGTAACCACTGGGAAGATGATGCAGAAGGCAGTAGAAGTCACGCACTTCATCAGCCAATTCGCGAGCCAACTCAACCAACTCCCGCTCAATCGGCTCACTTGCTCTGCCCACTCGCTTCTTCACATGCTCAGCTTAGGCCATCAAGTCGTGAATGAATCCCGACATGTCTCGACTCTCGACTTCCAAGTTCGCTGACGGTCATGAGTCGCAAACTTCAATGCGCACTCGAAGGAGCCAACGATGTCAACATCTTGTCAGCCACGTTTTCAATCCCAGCACACCCTTACGGCCTACGGGATGGTGATCCATGGGATTGGCCTGACTTTAGAAGCCTTTTGACTTCTTACCGATCTTCCTTTTGTCGAGCCGTGTTTCCTTCTCACATGTTTCTTTGATATACTGTAATGAGGGCACCTAAGACGGGCACAGCCTTTGTGGATTTACTTGGGAAGCTTCCAGCTGTGTGCCAAGCCGTTGCAGAGGGCTTCAGTGCGTAGAACAGGTTGCAGCAGGAAGGCGGCAGGGTAGACAAGCACCGGTGCAGGCAGCGAGCTTCATCTTTGGTTTGGCCGCCCTTGCACGTGTTGGGTCAGGCAAGGGATTGACGACCGTTTCACAAGGGTCGTCAAGGGTCTGTGCAAGTTTCGTTCGGACGTGAGCGCATATAGCAATGACAGCAGTGTGCCTGAGGGACCTGATCGCCTCCCTGTCGTGTACACCTTCGACAAGTGACACGTAGCTGTGGAAGTGTTGACAGACGGCAGGTGAGACTTACTGGACAGCTTTTGCCGTCGACCTGGCACTGTTGCCCCACGGCCCCACGAGTCTCGTTCCTGCCACAACCTGTAGAACCTTCAAGACCAGTGGCAGGAGGCTCGGCATCGGCAGCTTCAGTGCCTGCGCTTGGGCTGCACAGGCTGTAAGCGCAGAAGGCCAAAGGTTCGCTCCGGGCTGTCAAGTGCCTAAGACGACCTCAATTCGGGCTCATACGACTGGCGTCCGCTCTGATTCGAACAACTACTGTACAGTATCCAGCATTGTAAGCAAGAGCAGTCTGTCCAGTTGCCGCAACACCTCTGCGTAAGAATTCTTGACAGCATCATCGTCTTGCCAGTGGCTTGAGGCAAGAGATCATGGAGGAAGAAGGAGGCAAGCCGAACGGCCGAGCCAATGTCAAAGTCCTAAAGTGGGTCTGATAAAGCTTTGATGAAGCTCTGAGAGATCTCATCAAAGGTGATGAGCCAGGTGATGAGAACATGTTTGTGGAGCTGCAAGGCTGTGTGCATGCCACAGGCTCCCCAACGGCAGCCCTTCTGGGTTCCTGCCGTGAGGCTTGTTCAGCGAGCTGCATCGTCGTTTCTCGTTTGCAGCGCCAAGCGGGAGTTTGCAGCTGTCACCACTCAGATAGTCTCACCGTCGACCGACATGATAAGGACAGTTTCGTGTTATTCATGAACAAATGCAGAAAGGTTCGGTCAGATTGCTAGAAAATCGCATTGATATCCTGCACCAATCCAGCTCATCCAACAGCAATCCGAAGTCGGGCAGCATCGCCCACAGGCGGCCGTATAGTGCAGTCATCCTCGGTTCTTGTTTCCTTTCCAAGATGCACATTCGGTCCACCACACTTCAGAAATGACCAGGGTTCTGAAACACGGGAGATCAGTGTGCAGCGAGAAATTGTCGAAGAGAATACGATTTTAAGAACCCACCTTGAGGCTCAGATGCTGCAAAGGGGGAGAGGACATGGCTGTGACAAGAACACGTGCTTGACACCTTTGTAAGCACCAATCGTTAGCATCCTCCTGTGCATTGCCGGTATGGTCAAGAGAGTCTGACGGACAGTTATGTCTCTCGTCCATCCTCATTGGTTCATTGGCGTGCTTCGCCGTGGTCATGCACGTTTGGACGACATGGGCCCGTCCGGGAGTATGTCCGGGACTGACTGACTGACATACGAAGGCGTGATGCTGGAGGCGACTCTGGTGCTGAATTGAACTTCGGAAGGGATGCAGTTGCCGCATCGCCAGGCGAGTTACGAGCAAGCGCCACAGACTCACGGACCTGCAATGCTGGGCAAACAAAGCTCGAACTACTTCTGCAGAGCGACAAGTGCATAGTAGCACGCGGATGCACACAGCGTAGTATCAAAGGGTTAACAGTACATGGCTACATGTGCAACATGACAGAACTATTGTGACTATTGTGAACAAGTCTTTCCAACAGGTCGTCTCAGGGTCAATTCTTGATCTACGCCTCCTCGAGCGTATCATGCGCGAGTGCTACGTCGATGCAACTGCCTCAGCCAGTGCGATCGTCGTGGGTACGACTAAACTGTCTACATCTTCGCAGAGTGCACGCATCTTTGCAGCGACAGTCTGTTTGTGCGGCCTTCCTCTGTTGCCCCAGTAAACAGCCTGCCTGTGAACGTTCGGAAAGTTGCTACCGCGGAACAGATAATGTCGCCCTGTCGCAAAGAGTTGCTGCCATAAGGCCAGGCAGGACCGCAGAAGCTTTCACCAAGGAACAGCGCTGCGACGAAGAGCTGCAGCTTTTGACTCGCCTCCTTGCCAAAGTGCCCAGAACGTTTATGAGAGCAGAGCTATCCACCGCTGTGCTTTTGGTTGACATGTTTCCAAGCTGTTCAAGCTGCGTGGTGATACGTGTTTCAGCTAAATAAATGGCTTACTTGACGGAGGTCTAGAGCTGGACCGGACCAGAAGATGTCATTCGATTTGTAGTTTTTTTCTGAGACTGTGGGTGCAGAAGCAACGAATACATAAGCCAGATGGACGCGAAAGCTTACATCGGGCGAACGACACATGCAGCTGACTCTTCCCAGGTTGACGTAGTACGTATCAGGATAACCTGATGTTGTGGAAAGTCTATAGTTTGCAGGCTGACTCAAGATTTCTGCACGCGGCCTGGTGTCCAGGCAGCCTGCAACCTTTGTCTAAGCAGGAAGGTCTCGTTTGCACAACCGCATGCGGAAGGAGGCGGAGGGACAACTCGGAGTGACAAACGTGTCAACGCATCCGGCACGGTTTGCTGCGAAGGGTTTTTTTGGAGGGCTTTTTGGTCTTAGTTAGAGTCAGATAGAGATTGGAAAGGTCTCTGGAAACGGTCGATCGAATCGCATGCTGCCACATATTGGATGCCAGACGTTCCGACAAAGGGGCAGTCCGCCTGAACACCAACAAAAAATGCCACAAACGTAGTGCTTGAGAACGCGTGCTCCGCGTGCTCCATGCTCTCCCGGTATCCGCAGGCCCAAGGGCTTTGAGGTCCTGAGGCAGGGCTGGCATTGACGGATTGATCAGAAAGACTGAATTAAATCAATCAGTCCTCAATATCATTCAATACCCACCGCATGGAAGGTAAACTACCACATTTTCGCGCCATGCCCCTAGAAGTCATGGGATGTCATATGCGTCGCAGATCGGTCGGTTTCGCAGCTCGAAGAAGGAGTTCCAACTCAACAAAAGGCATTGCACAAATGATGTGCATCTGCCACATCTATGTAAATACTTAATATGTGTATATATATATATACATTGTTCATATATACCAATATTTGTATCTATGCCTGAATGGTGCACTGGGAGGGTTTGGATTAGCTCTGCCGCGCACCGTCGCTTTGCCTCTTATTGAGAGTGCTTCTTGGGCCAAAAGCACTTTCTGTTCCCAACTGTTGGCCGCACTACTGTTCGTGTACAGAGGCTCGTGACCTCTACGGGCCGGAAGAGATCAAACTGGCCATGCGCCCAAAGGCCCTGCAATGCTCTGCATTCGTGCCATCATGTGTTCACATGCAGTAGGTGCTGCACTGCACTGTTTCAGAAGTCATCCACAAGTTACACGAAGAAGCTTGCTATACGGTAGCGTCCAAGAATGACAGCGCAGGAAACATGAGTATTATCACCTCAACAAATTCAGCACCAGGCTTGATCAGAAGATTTCAGAAGTAAATATGTATCTCTGGGTCTCGAAGTTTGGTCAAGGTGGCCGTTCTTGGGTGGCCCGAGACATTCGAGAACCCTCGCAATGACTATGCCCTGTTGCATGCCTTGAAGCTTCTTGGAGATGCGACAGCGAATCACTGGTCGGCCCGTCTTGCTACAATCGAATCAGTCCAAGGACTCATCATGGCAGTCCAGCGCGTAACAACTCCAAGGAGACATTGCTGCACAAGCAGCTATGCAGCGCGTTGAACATCATGGCGGACATGCTTCTTCGTTCTGCGGGGTGTCAACGAAAGCAAGCTTGACCGCGAATGTCCGAAGCTTCCCACGACCTCGGAATCTTAAGCAAGAAAATGACATGCGGAACAAGGGCTCCTGCCACTGACTTCGAAGTTGTTTTGCAAGGCGGTCCAAAGCACTGCAGTGGCAGTGCCACCACCGACGGAGGAGGCGCTGCTCAGCCCACTTGAATGAAGGACCAAGGTCAGTTTGATCCTGTCGCCAAGAGCAACTCTCCGGCAAGTGCACAAAAGCAGATTCGTCGACGAGATCACTAGCTCACCGTCGCAGGCATGCTGCTTTGTGTTTCTTCTTGAAGTTGTCGAGTCAACAGCAAGTCCTCGGTTCCGTTTCGCCCTACGCACGAAGCTGCGCAGAGTGCAGAGGGTTTGTTGACATGAGCTTTTCTTGGATTTGTGGTAGACCATGGGGAGGTGTGGAACATGCACAAGCTTCAAGGTGTCCAGCGTGAACGGGTGCAGTGGAGATTGTGTTCTGAACCATGGGAGTAGGCAGGAGCATCATCTCGCAGCGAGAAGTAGCGCCTCGTTCGTGCAGATCGTCCCTTTCTGTTTACTGCACTTGTGTTTGGTCATGTCGGGATGTGCGGTCATGCCAGCGCTCCTTGTCTTATGCCCAGCTGCACCGCGCACTCGCAAACCCAGGAAGTTTATGTCTGAGACCGCCGGTGGCGTGAGATTTGCGTACTCTGAGTGAGTGAATTCGTCATTTTGTGGAGCTTTGCACCTGCAGATCCTGCAGCAGAAGTCTGTAAAGTCATGTACTGTGGAGAGGTCCGAGACAGAAGGGTGCATTGTTAGAACCCTAACGGGCGGTCAAGCCAGACATTCTTGCAGCACATCAGTGTTCAACTTGAGAGCAAACGTCAGCTCTCCTTGATTGAGAACATGAGCAGCTCGCACTTCGGCATTCCGGCCATTACAAACTTGACAATACATGTGGGTTGCAACATGTCCAGATTCCATTTGTCCCAGGCTGCGGAAGCTCCACTGCCTCTCGCAGTGCCCACAGGCTCCACGTCGCTTGCATTGACGCTCGGCTGCAGATGCCGAGTGGTGAGAGCAACCAAAGCGACAGAGCCATCTGCGAGTGGAGGCTGTCAACAGCTAAGGATAGATGTGGCCAAAGTTGCCATGTCATCTTCCATGCGTGGCATCAGATTTGATGCTGTTTCATCCGATGCACATGGACATGGTGCTTAGACGGCTTGTGCATTGGAACGATGTTTCACCGGTTCACCTGCTAGGCCGATACGGAACAGGCAGTTGGCTAGCAGATCATGCCCATCCGTGAAGCCCCACAGGCTTTGCGTGTAATGGGTTTTCCAAAACTTGAAAAGCCATTGAAGTGTAGCTAGAGCTTGAGCTGAGCGAATGATCAACTGTGAGTGTGTGTGTGTGTGTTGTTCAGGGCTTCTGAGATGTTTCGGAAGCTCCAGGCAGCAAGTGATTTGCCGTTTGGCTGACTGTTTGTTGCCGGGCTCGGAAGACCCTCGGAGCCTCTTCTCGAGAGGACCGGGCCGTTGCCTCACATGATGTCTAAGCTGTTCTCATAGCACCGGCATAGTCGTGCATCGTAAGCACAGAAAAGGCATTGAAGTTCTCGGCCTCAGCCTCAGCGCGTGGCCTCCGGTCATGGGCCAGTGCCTGGCAGGCCATAGCAAGGAGGCCTCGCCCTGTGACAGCGCACAATTGGGTGTCGCAAGACTGCGACTGCATACTGTCGTGTGGTGAGCATGTTTGGTGCTGGCTGCTTGCTGAAGAATCAAGCAGTATAGTGAAAGCAACAGCTCTATGCTTGCGTGAATCAACGCACACAGGAGCTGCCACCACTGAACATCCTCGCCTTTTGTGACTGGCTCTCTTCTCAGAGTACTGAGCTGTCGTTCCCACGCTCCAAACACCGACTCGCGGGACAACCCGGTTGCTGAAGCTCGGCGGACGCTAAACGGCTAAAGCCCAGCTCGCAGGTTATTTGCACACTTGGACTGTCGCCTCAGCAATTTCCAGAAAGCCGGGCCTGTCCCGGCTTGATACAGAACTTCAGTTCCAATATGTAACTCATGCAACGTGCATCTACCGGCACATTGCTCCAACAGCCTCAGTGTCAGAAAATCATGCAATTGAGTTTGCATCTTCAGGTTTGGCCGTCCTTACAGTTGGCCCGTGTGAGAGCTTGCTCCTGTAGCAGCTCAGGCCGCAGCGAGCGGCCGCACCCGAAATTTGTGTGGCCTTCAGCGAGCTTTCACACGGGGAACCGGACCTCGTCGGCTCGTGCAAACAATTCCCTCCCCCTTTTGAAGACTGTCCTGAGATCACACACCCACCCAATGCACCCCTCAGCCCTGCATGCCGAACATGGCACTTGAATCTGAGCGAGACGTAGTCTCTGGAGATAGTCGTAAACAAGCTGAGTTTGTGCAGAGGCCGAGGGTTGCACGAAGCGCTGGGCTTCCGACGAGGCCAGGTGCGAGAGTTCCCAAAGCTGTTCAGGTGCGCCGTCAGAAGATGCCGGTCTGCTATAATTGCAGTGTGACTTTCACGCACTGCACCAGCTGAAACTGAAAGGTCCTGATGGCTGCGATTCCGATGGAGAAGGCTTCAGTGGTGATTCGTGATCATGCAATGTCAAAAGCTGGACCACTCCGTTGAATGTAAGTCCAACTTGGGTCTTTGGCTCTTCAACCATTGCGTGAACGACTTCGGCGGTCCTTCAATCAGCCCTTGGTCTTCCGCTAGGCTACTGGCGCTTCCTTTGTGAGCGCCTCGCAGAGGAGACGGAGGTTCCACCTAAATCCTAAAAGGGCCCAAAGAGCCAGTTCCGTGCCACTTTCGATTCGTCCTTAGGGCTTACGCTGGGGTCCAGAAGAGCTTTGAGAGCTTGCTATGTGCCATCCACAGAATATGTCTCGCAAGTGTACCATTTTGAACCTGTATCTTTGAACTACTGGTAAGTCCTGAGAGGCTTGCAACAGGGGAACAAAGAAGAAGAGCCTCGTCTCAGCCCCTTAACTGTCTAGTTAGTCTAGTTGACATTGCATACTATGTGTGCAACATTATGTAACACACGGTCGATAGAGTGGAGGTTCGCACATGGAACCTGATCAGCATGAACTCCGCTTTGGCGCTTCCTCGTTGAGCTTTGACGAAGGATGCCTTGCTACAAAAACCATAAAATGTTTCAAGCTTCTTCTTCACCGGCTTTAGAAGGTGTACGTACCACCTCTTGCCGGAGTCTCGGCGAGCTATCGGTGCCTCATCAAGGACCGTCTAGCCCTCCGGCTCCTTGGACAAACACTGCTTGCGATGCTCAGTGCCATCTCCAGCCACTTTCAGCAACTCTCGGGACCAAAAGGGGGACGTTTCAAGAAGTGAGATTGCAGCCCCTGATGTCCACGGGTAAAGGTTCGCTACTTACACTTAGCGACTCAGCGCCCGATATTGGTTCAGTAAGATTGGTAGCGAAAACCTGTTCGCAATCGTCGGTTCGATGCGCTGGCCTGGTTTATCCTGCTAGACGTTGGCCTACAGGAGCTATACTCCCTGTCCATGAAAGACATCCGCAGAGCTGTGGCCTCAGCTTTCACCACGCAAGTGGCAACACCTGTCATGATGAAATCCTCTGCATTTTAACATGATTAAGATGAAGAGAAACACTTTTGGTCGAACATTCCCACCCTACAGATCAGGAATTTCTGGGCCGTCCCTGATCTATAGCCTTATCGACGGCGGAGAACAGCAACCATCATCAACACCACCGCCACCACGACAACGACAGCAACCAAGACAAGTGTTGCAGTAAGTGGGTTTTGCAAACTGGGTATAAATTGGTATGATTAAATCATGAGTTGATGAGTTGTGCAGTGATGGGTATTCCGAAATCATGTAGGTCATAACCTGGCAGGTTGGGGCTCCGAAAAGCTTGGCTGAATGGCATAGGCTCGACAGCTTTACCTCGGATCCTCAGCCCTAAACTCCTAAACATGAATATCATGGCAACATATATAGCAGCCAAAATCATGAAGGGCATTGTTGCTCAGACTTCCAAGTTCGGTTTAGACACCATGCTGCTTCCGCTTCTGGGGAACTGCCTCGTTCAGATGTGCTTCTTCGGCATTAACATAACTAATCGGGAAGGTCATGTCTTAAATCATGAACCGCACCATGCAGGTGCGGTAAAGACACTGGGGTGCAAAACATGTGCCAGTAAGGTCTTCTTTACCATTTTCAACGCCACTGTTTACCGTTACAGTATAACGTACGTGACTAGAGAAAGAAAAAGTTAGGAGGCTATATTATGCTGTCGTGAGCTTATGCGGCACTCCAGGGATGCTCACCTGGGGAACCCTGGAGTACCCAACGGGCGAGGAGTAGACCAGGGAATAGCTGAGTTCAAAGTCTAACAACCCTACAGTGGGAGCTGTAGCACGGTGGCATCGGTCCGGTGGTGTTTGAGCTGTGAGGCAGCGGCAATGGCTTATGCCCAGAGAGATGGTTTGGCAAGCTCGGACATCACGCCGCACACTGAGACTGGCACGATGTTCTCCTAAACGGTGCAAAGCACACGGAGGCAGAAACAGTCCTGCATGGCTCCAATGGCAACCTCAGGAGCGGCCTCCATGACGTGGAGGCTGAGGACATGATGCAGACCTTGTAGTCCAACATCCGGGGAAGTTCGTCCGGAGCCTGACTAGCGCCAGGAGTTCAAAATCGGTGTTGCCGCGCGCCTGCGCCCTGCGGATGCCAAAGATGCTTCGGAGGAGGCATGAATTGACATTTGAGATCATCTGACTCGCGAAGTACTCAGGCTCTTTGTCATAAACGAACGAAACCCTCAGCCTTGGCAGGGCATTTGTTTTGTTGCCGTTTCAAGGTTTGCTGGAGTTTGCGCGTGCTGCTACAAGTTTCTAGACCATGAAGGTGATTGAAGCATTTGTGTTCAGGCAGGGTCTCAGGTTCCGCGATTCGAGAACATTTCAGAAAGTGGTAAGCTGCACTTCTTTCCCGATCACGACCACCATTTTCTCAGAGTGTGACGATTTAGCAATTTAGTAGCTCAGCAATTTAGCAGTTCGGCTACCCAGATCTTTCGTTCGGCGCAGATCAGAAAGTTTGTTGCGCAACTCGGAGCACGCCTTTCCCATTTCTCCGGTTTTTCCTGCGCGATTCTTGAAACATGCCGCATAAAAGTCTATGAGCATCGACAGCTCGATCAACAGCATGAAGCACCTCCTTGCATGACAGCCAGGAGGGTGTGGTCTTGCCCTTGCACCAGAAGGCCGGACCTGATCGCCGTCTTAAGATGAGGGACACTCGGGACGAAATCTCCACAGGTGGACAAGACAACACTAGTGACACAATTTGCACCATGTCACAATGGTGCCCCTACTCAATATGTTTTGGACTTTAGAGGATCTGCTGCTCCCTCTTGCAAGCGGGGGAGCAGGCATGTCGAAGCCTAGGCGGAAGCTAGTTACACGCTTCGGTCTGCAGACATGCACTCGGCTCACTGCAGGCCTGCCCTCAACGAAAGTTTCAGAAGACACTGCTCACAAAGACATCCAAGCGCCAGACCTATCCTGGCTAGGGTGACAAACATCCAGCAGCTGGAGCAGCTCATGACCTGATCCCTCATCCTAAAGAGCCGTACAGATGCTACGTTGACGGCCCCTGAGGCTCCCCACAATCCTGCAACCCTGAAGAGGGCACAGGGCCCTTGCCGGGCTTCTGAGCCCGGCTTCGCACCCCATGCCTTTCCGCGATGCTGCCATTGCCATGTGCCTTGGAGTTGCAAATTTTCGAGCGTAGAGGTACTTCCGACGGTGCCCCGCAAAGATCGCTGGTCAACTGTCCCAAATTTCGCCCTGAAACTCGAGCACATGTTTCTGAAGCCGCTTCGGGAAAAGGGTTGCTCGCTTATGGCGCTGGATCCAAGGCCCCTGTGTCGAATGGCTCTGGAACCGCCGAGAGGCCATGGACATCTCTCAGGAATTCTTTCCACTTCTTTTTGTCGTCTCATATTGCAGAAGCGAAACAAGTGACACTGCGCAGTAGTTGGGTATCTCTCTGTATGGCATCGACTAGTCGGCCTTTGTTTGATCGCCTGGTGTGGCATTCAGGTCTCTGGCCTCGTACACGCAGAATCGCAGTGAGTGTGCCGCTTTTCAGGTTTTCACCTTGAAGTCGATAGCGGCAGCCCCCTTTGGCCAAGCTCTTTCTGTACCTCCTCATGAACGTGAAACGCTTCTGTGGGAATCATTTGCAAAGGTATTGTTTTCTAGCCATAGCTATAATACATAGCTTTCTCTGTCTGAATGCTATATAGACTGTCATGGGTATTCTTGCATCCCGCAAGCTGGAAAGTCTGTGCAGCTGCAGTTTAGCTCCTCGGGCACAAGCAGGCTCTCCCCGCCCAGCCTCGTGCCGGCGACGGCAGACGGAAGGCCGCTCACCTTGTGGGCGCCGGGAATTTTACCTTGCGCACATGTTCCAGGGAAGAACCGCTGACACTTGATAGATGCATATAGATGCTCAATGATCATTTTGGGTCCTCAGCACGAAGCATAGGGAATATGGCAGGCTTTTGAGTGTGTGACTGCTCGATGTGCGCGAATCAGGAGTAGCTGACGCATGCGGTGCTTGCCTTCCCATTGACATGTACATGTTTTGGATGGCACATGTGGCGTAAAGGCAGTCGGTGGGGGGAGGGTTGTGAGTGTTGTCGATGTTGGCCCGGAGGCCACTACGGTCTCCATCGCTTCAGAAGATGTTCCCGAAGAGCAGGCCGAGCAGGGCCCTGTGGAGTACTTGGCACGAGCCCAGAACTGAGCTGCTAGGGCCAGGAAAGCAAACGGCAACTGGTCGAAGCTGTGTCTTAATTTTGGGAAACAGATCTAACAAGCTAGCCTGTTACAAACATCATTCGTTGCGCTATGCTGTCATGCCTGCCACGGTTTCCCAGAATAGACAGCAGATCACAGCCACCCGATCCTCGCCTCGGGAGCAACACAGAGTCTGTGGGGCACACGCGGCCCGAGCAACTTCCAGCCTTGGTGGTGGGAGGGGGTGGGGGGGGGGGCAAAGATCACGTGGGACTTTGCAAGGCGACCCCCGAGACTCCAGTAGTAGCAGACTTGCTTGCAAGACTGCTGTGCTGAATGATCTCGTTCGATGTTGTAGCTTGTTCATACTTGTCCCGTGACCCACATCACTGCAGCGCATGTCATCTCGGTCGGTCGAGAAGGACAAAAATGTCTGCAACATGCTGTAGAGATCAAGAGATGCGTCAAGATGTTTCGATGTCGCCACGAAACATGTGCAGGGGCATAAGTTGCTCAAGCAAGGAAGGAAATCGCATCCGGAATTACTCCAAGTCCGTCCACCTGCAAAGCAAGATGAAGCCATGAGAACCTTTTAAAATGAGGCAGCAAGAACAGGCGAAGAGCTATAAGCAACGGCAGGCGTACTGAAATGAAGGCAGACCGGTAACGAAGGAGTGGTAGTATGTGTCAGGCAATCAAAGCTTGAGGGTGCATGCTGTCACGGTGGATTGGACTGACCGGTTGCCGGGGTGCAGATGGTGCGGATGCCAAATGATTCTTGCCCGTTTGCAGGTGACGGCAGAAGGAGGTATGCACAGCGCTCCTGCCCGGAGACCCACCAGAGATTACTCAAAGCTGCCGTGCACCCAGACACCAGCAGACAGAGTCGGGCCGTGTCAGACAAGTACCTTCTGCTTCTCAGGAAAAAGCCATGTTGAAAGCTGACCAGGACAAGCTTCGTGCGAGACGACGCAGATGAGCTTGATGGCACAGACACGTGGAGGTACTGGCCAGGGTCGAAGTCACACTGTAATGCTTGCTTCTTGGGGGCACTTGGGGCTGCTGCATCTCACAATGTAAGTACCCTCAGTGGCCGCTTGTGTGAACACCTCCAAACCTCCAGAAGCCCAAAGCTCATATATCATATGTCCAACAAACTGAAGGCTGTAACCGTAGCTCCGTCACCCACTCCCGTCTACCATAAAGCTCTCACGCACGACCCATGACCCGAAAATTTGTTGCTTAAGCCTTTGTCATAGCAGATCATGGCCGAAAGTTGAAGCGCTTCTGGGTTTCCTTTACATAATGTATGAGAGACGGGTATTGTCGCTGGGCGCTTCTGGGCCCCCTCAGCTCAGCACAAGAAAGATCAGACACAGACTGCAAAAGGACTAGATTCAGGGGGAGTCCTGAAGGCGAGGAGGGATTTGGATTTGGGGTGCAGAGCGGGGAATCGTTATTGAATGGGAGGGGCCCGCAACAGTGCGCAGCCCAGACCACTTCGACCATTACAATCCATGCGAAGATTCGGACAGCCGCACTGCACATTTGCAATGTATACTGGTGTGATTGTAGGAAACTGCCAAGTGCAAGAGTCTATTCTTTGATGCACGTTGTCATATTGTATATATGGGAAGGAGTTTGTCTCACCCACCAACCGGACATCGCGAACCGTAGGTACTATGCCCTGGTGGCGGAGAAGGAGGTTGAAAACAGCACGCGTGCCAAGTGCTGCAAGCCAGTCTTTTTCCTTTTTTATGGCCAAACCAAGAGGTGCCTGCTAAGCGAGCTTCATCACTCACAGCATATTACCAAACCTGTCTCAGCAGTAACAGCGCGTGCTATGTTCTACATGGAGGTTTATGTCACTGTGATGGTGAGTTATGGAAGCTGGCAGAGGATCCTGTGACAAAAACTCTTTGTATGGCCTGGAACATAGATGCTGGTTTCCACTGAACATGACCATGAGTGCGTCGATCACAAGCATCCTGCCTATTCATGCAGGCAAGCTGGTGGAAGCCCAGCTGGCAGAGGGCAGCGAAGCTGCTCCTCAGCCATCGTTAACGCCAACACGAAGGCAAATATGCGTAAACTTGGCAGACATGCTATCAACAGTTGTCGACTTTGATGTAGTGTTGGGCGCAGGGATTCAATGCAAAAACCAAATCTTGAGAAGCAGTTGCTTCCCAAGTATTCCGCAGGTCTTCCCCTAGGCTGTGCTAATTTCGGCGATACTGCGTTGGATGGGGCGGGTTGCAGGTCCGTCGTCCGGCGGCCGCAGCTGTTACAGAATTCGATGCTGCAGCACCCGGGCTTCGAAATGTGGTTGGGTCGGCCTGGCCTAGTCGCAAAGTGGGTCACCCTGGGTCGTCAAGCGCATCAAATCCAAAACAAACAAAAGGCGCGGATCATCAAACAACCTTTACTTGCTGTCTGCCCTCAGGTACCTGTCTCACACCGTGTGCGATGCCATCGAGCAAGGCCAGCACAACGTATCAAGACAGGGTTTTGTCACGAGTGAAACTTATGTCATGGCCTGGCAAGAATTTAATTAGGCTGAACTACCTTCACTATACTGCACTTTGCATGATGTTGCAGTGTTGTCGGTGCCGACCGAAAATTCCAAAACACTGCATTGAGTATGTCAACTTGACACCGCTGTCTGTTTGTTCCAGACTCCAGACAAACTAACGAAACTCCGCAGGCATCATCTGCAAAGAGGACTTCCCTCGAGCAATTCTGGAGGACAAGCACAGCAAGTACAATGCCAGCAAGGCCAAAATCGAAATGTGTTTAAGTTTGACAGAAGGGAGAGTGGGGGAGAACATCAGCGATGAGATCCCGCAGAAAGTGGTGCAGGAGAGCCTGTAGGGCCCGACTCTGCTGTGCGCCTTATCGGAGGGCCGCTTCGAAGCAGTCGTCGTCTTCATGGACGCCTCGGGCTTCACAGCGCTGACGGAGTCCCTGGCGCGCCAGGCTCACGGAGCAGCTCGGCAATGCTCGGCACATCACAGCACACAAAGACGAGCTCAACCAACGAGGTACTGTAGCTGCTCCGCACAGGGTGCGCTTTGCGTTGTTGTCCGGATCAGACAGCTTGGCCAGCGCTGCAAGGCGTGATAAGAACATATAAGAACATCCATCATCGTATCAGGAGCGATGATGAGAGCAGGAAGCTGTGCAGACAAATCAAAAATTGAGCCTTACAGCTGTTGCTTTGCTTAAGATAAAAAAAGTTTAGGTTTGGATCAAAAATGATTGATATTGTACTCCAGGGCTATAAGATTGCCACCTACTACTGCTACTACTACTACTACTACTACTCCTCCTACTGCTACTGCTACTGCTACTGCTACCTACTACTACTCCTCCTCCTCCTCCCCCCTACCACTACTACCACTACCACTACCACTACCACCACCACTACCGCTACCACTACCACTACCACTAATAAATAATCATCATCATCATCATCATAATAACAACAATAATAATACCACTAGCCTGCATGCATAGTTGCCACGGTTCTGCAGACACAGGCCGAAGAGATTGGTTCGTGTTTGAACAACTTTTTCGGCGCCCTCATTGAGATTATCACCCGTGGGGTTCTCAGTGTGTGAAAGGGACCGACGTCCAGAATGAGGCTTCGGCTCTTTTCCAACATGTTCCAACGTTGCCGGCATGCAAACGTTGTATTCAGAAGCGCCCCGTGGAGAGAGGTCACGGAGGAGATGTGCTGAAATTCAGTGGGGATGCCCTGACCATCCTTTGGCGAGTAGAGGACGAAGGCGGAGCGTCAGCCAAGTCTTGGCAGATCGACCTGCCATGATTGAAGCAAGTTGTTGCTGTTTTCGTGCTCGGTTTTATCTTCGGCGCGAGTGCCCTCTTCAGCGGATTCCGCGCCTCCGGGCTTAAGACATATATTTCGTGCAGAATCTGAGAGGCGCTCCATGGCGTTCCCGATCACCGAGCAAATCTACCAATTCATCTTGCCAGGCACTCAATGTTGAAAGTTTGGAAAGCAATCACGCAGTGAGCTCATGCCACTTTTCGTAGCACCCTGAGTTGAAAAGCAACCGCATGCAGCATGATACAAGTTCTTGTCCTATATACTATATGCTGGAGATTTGTCACAGATATTTCAGGCACTGCAAGGTCTGAGTCTGAGATGTTATCAATAAGCGCTGCACTATAGCTCCAGGCATCCAGAGGTTCTTATCACATGCAGGCATCTCTCGGAGCAGGAGTCGTTTGATGCTGGCATTCAAACCAGAATCGTGCATTCATCGGGGCGTAGCACTGGAGGCATAACGAAATCATGCACAGTTGTCTCAGTGGTGTCGTGCAGCAGTGTCTAAGGCACCCTGCCGCCGGTGAGCAAAGCCGATGCAACCTCGCGGCAAGTCGCAGAACTGGTTGAAGCAGCTGTCGTCCCGATTTCCGGTCTCTATTCCACATGCCATACTGCAATACATCGGCAAAGCTCCTGACCGGATCTTCAGCTACCACATGATCGCGAGCTCGACGCATGATCCACGAGCATCTTGTGCTATGTCTGGTAATGTTTCGCGGTGGCTTGTTGATGGTGTTCGTGTTCTTGCTGCTTTGACACTTGCAACGATGATGATGGTGATGGTTCTTGATCGTATGATTCTATCGGCAGCTTGTGTGTTTATCAATTTTGTTTGCGGGTAGAGATCCCTGCTATGCCCGGCCGATAGATCATCGCTGCTGTAGCGGTGACCCAGAAGCCTGGGGTGATCTCGGTTTGGCTGACCTACGATCCTCAACACAGTACAGTGTATTTTTTCGATGCTTGTTGTCGCCACTGCAACTGCATGCATGCATGTATGCATGCACGTCCGCATGCATGCATGCATGCATGCATGTTTCGCTGCATAGACAGATGGATAGATGGCTAGATAGATAGATAGATAGATAGATAGAAGTAATAGAAGAGAGATAGAGAGATAGAGACAGATAGAGGGAGATGGATCGATAGATAGGTCATCATGATTGATAGATGGGTTGGTTGATTAAAATATAGATCGATAGCTAGCAGTTAATACCTTAGATAGACACATAGATAGATCGATCGATAAATACTTCGGCAGATAGATAGATAGATAGATAGAGGCACCATGAGGCACCCGAAACCCAACCGGTCCCAGCCTGTAGAGTAGATAGATAGATAGACAGATAGACACATAGATAGATAGACAGATAGATAGATAGACATGTGACATGTGTGTGTGTGTTGTACGTATGTCTTGATACTGCTAAAGTCCTTTCATGCTCGACGTTTGTTCGACACACGGGCATTCCGAGCTGCACTGAGAAAAGGCACGGTTCAGCGCCGCGGCAAATGCTTGCCGGTGCTGCGTGGAGGTTCAAAGCCGCGTGCAGCTGGCTTCGAATTATGTATTCGGTGTACCCTAGAATTTTGCCGGACCGCTGGATTTTGACTGCCAAAGTGCAACCATATGACACGTTCCGTTTCCTGTCGTAGTTGCAGCAGGAATCAGGAGCCTGTTGAATTGTGTTGACTAGAGAAAGTGTTTCGAAGAAGGACATGAGCCCTTAAATGATGCACCTCAAAGCCAACCTTCTGTGTGGAAAGCATATCTTTGTTTAGATGGTCCGCTCCAATGTCCTGTCAGTCCTTTCATCATCTGTTGTCGGACATAGTGCGCATCTGTGCATAAGAGGATAGGGGCCCGTCGAGGGTGGACTTGTTGGGGATATGCTCTATGTTTCGGAACAAGGATTTTGCATAATTCGAATCGGCAGACTGTGGGCCTTTGCGCCCCAGGCAGACCCAGACTGCATGCACGAGGGGGCGGCAGCAGCTGGGGTGCTGTCTTCATGTTGTTTGGGGTGGAAGCATCTTGAGAATTCTTGAGAGAGCCAGGAAGGTAGGTGCAAAGAAGTCGAGGTCCAGCTTCGGAGCCACGCCCGTGCCCGGCGTGGTTCTGACGCTGCACGTCGGCGTCGGTTTCGGCCCGCTGACACTTTTGCAGCTGGGCCCGGCGCCATGCTACCCCGTTTTGGGACCTAAAGGGGCGCCACATTGGCAAACGATGCAGTTTGGCTCATGATGAAACCACCTTTGAGGTGGAGTCCTGGATCGCTGGGAGTTTTGCGCAGCCGGGCAACCACTGGAGGAGGCTGTCAACAGAGCAGAGGTTCTGTTCAAGTTTGTAGAAGCACGTTCTCCCAATCTGTCGAAGCTGATCCTTGCGGCCTTGCGCGGAGGTGGCGATCGCAGAACCGTTGGCTCACTCTGGTGAGACAGTTGTCAGCCCGAGTGTTCAGGAGGTACTGGCTTCGAAAGGAACCTTGGAACACACATATGGTTTATGTTGACTCAAACCTCAAGACTCAGACTTAAACTCGGATCCCGGTGCACATGCAAACGCAATGGAGCACTCGACCTACTCGCGACTTTCCTACCTGCATCTACCTACGCTCCCCAGCACCAAGCACTTCCGAGGACAGAACAGCGAGTTCTGCTTCGAGGCTTTTTCATGGGCTATTTGTAGGTCTCAATTTTGGGAAGTTCCGTTCTGTAGATCTGACAGAAGCGAGAGCCCAGCACTCCCTTTTGTGGCTAAGTGGCTTGATGATCTGTCACCAGGCCGGCTTTCCGGAGCAGCCCGGCTACGCCCTCCTCACCTCCACTGCTGCTCCGCTCGGGAGTGGAAAGGCAGCAAGCGATGGATTGAGGGTACAGAGGTTTATGTGGGCTACAGCAAAAGCGAAGCGAGGGTTGTAAGTCCCAGGGCAAGTCTTCGTCTGCCTACAGCTCACAGATGCAAGATGACAATATCTGGAATCCCCACCTGCTTTTGCCTTTGCTGTGTCCCTCGTCCTTGCCTCTGCACGCCGATTGGTGCGGTACAACCTGGTTTCATTCGCCGTAGGTACTTGTTCTTCGGTTGCGAATTTAAGCACAGTCAGCTGCAGACTGCAAGAGCATCTACAAGAAAGCAAGAGCTACAACATTCTGCAACATGGCGGCGACCACTGCACATGCAGAGACATGCTTTCATACATCTTCATACCCACACAGGATGCAGATTTTGCGCGTGGATGCATTCGCCACTGTTGTTATGTACAGTTATGCTGGTTCAACTACGGATGCGGCAGCACGAACTTCCGGGACTCGACTGAGTAGTTAAGCCCGGCCAGCATTTCCCCACAGGAGCACCCACGTTCGCCAGCGCGGCGCACGCTGGATGCCAGTGTGGTCCAACGTTACGTGCCGCAGGCAGCCAAGAGGCTTGGATCGCCGGTGCACTCATCTTCATTTTGTTGGCCATGGCAGCTAGGAAATCGTGCTCCCTGCGAGCACTGGCAGCACATGACGACAGGAGCAGAGCCGAAGTAGCAACATCAGGCTGTGGGCCCTGAAAAGGACTTGCCCAGACTCCACCACAGCTGAGTCAAGTTCCAGGATGTTCTGGTCATGTCCCACATTCTCTGGGCCTTGTATCCTATCGCCAGGAACCTGTCCCAAACATCGGTAGAAGCATTGATCCTGGGTCCGGGCCTCAACCTCTGAAATGTCAAGACAGACAGATATTCTTGCACACCCACCCACCCACCCGTCCACTCATTCCCTCCCCTCCACTCCCTCCCTCCCCCTCCCTCCCCCTCACCTCCCGCTTTCCCTCTCTCCCTCCCTTTGTTAAATGACATGGGCGTACCCAATGTTCCTACGAATGTTCACGAGGCATTTATGAATTCTATGATGCCGAATGGCGTTGGCTCAAGACTGGACAAAGACTGGTGTCCTGCTTCTTCCGGGCCTCTGAGCACTGCTCGATCAGCTGCCAGGTTTGGTTGAAAATCCAGAAGTGCTTGGGCCTCTGCCCCTGTGTGGGTGTGCTGTGCTCCATGGCTTTCAGCACTGCGTCTTGGAATCTGTCCTGTAGGGAGTCAATGTCTTGCTGGGGGTTGGGCTGCGTGGGATCAAGTTTGGTCTCTGTGCCCGCGGGGTTGGACTGGCCACTGGACTCTGGGGTGGCCTGCGGGAGGGGGAACTTGAATGCGTCGTTGAAGTCGCTCTTTTGCTCCGCCTCTGGTCGCCTGATAGGCCGCCTGGCCTTCGGCTGTCGCTTGTGATTGGCAGCGCGAACTTTCAAGGTCACCTTAGATAGGAAGTGGTTGCTGTTAAGGACTGCTCCCGGAATGGTGCTCGCGTCCGTGACCATCTTCCTCCACGAGAATCGTGGTGATAGCGTGGACCAAGTCGTAGTTGATGAGTGACCCGATTCTGGGTCTTTTTCTGCATCCAGGACTGTGGGAAGCAGAGGTCATGGGTGGCGCTCAGCTCGAAAAGGTGAGCGTGGTTGGAGAGCTTTTCTTGGTCGTCAGCCTGTGAGGCGAGCTGTTCGTCAGCCATTTCGGCACCAAAATGAGTGTGTGGACCCACGCTGACCGTGTTGGAGGCCAGTTCGTCCAGTAACAGGGCGTTGGAGTCCCCGACAATCAGCAACGCCAGGAGCTCGCTCAAATCTGCGCAAAATATGTCTCGCACCTGTTGCCCCGTTGATTGGACGGAGCATAAACCACCCGGCGAGGGGTGAGAGGGAGAAGCTGAAAAAGGCCGCCCTGCGTTCATCAGGGCCTGCCAATCTCCCCCGGCGATAGCTTGACAGGTCCTGCACGACGCCATTTCTACGGAGTGCGCTCCTGTGAGGGCTGTGAGGACTGAGCATCGCCATCTCCATCTTCCGTGAGCGAGGGGACTGCGAGGATGGAGATTCTTGCCAGTTCGTCCATGCCGCCCACCCCGGCCTTGTCAAACGCCTTCTCGATGGTGAGCCTGCGATCCTCAATGGTCATCCACGCAATTGTGCGCTCGGCCTGCTCCACCTTTGCGAAGAGAAGGTCCTTCTCGGACAAGGCTGTGCGGATCTTGAGGGCCCTGACCCCCTGCTCCAGCATGCTCACCCTGTCATTGCTGGCCGCCGGTTGGCAAGCGAAGAGAAGAATTCCCCGGGTTTGCACTACATAGCTAAGCTAGGACTGTGAGGCAAAAATAAAATAAAATATGTGAAGGCGACCTGTGCGGGACACAGTAGAGCAAGGCTTGAACCGCTCACGAGCTTGATTTGTCCAATATGACAAGGAGACTTCTCTGAAGTCGATTGCCAAGGATGTGTGCAAGACTGTCGGAGGATTGTCGATGCAGGCAGCACCGAGCAAAAGAAGTGTTGGGAATGCCCAGATAGCCCTCTAGGGCAACTGAGAACACTGATGGCTCAGGTTGAGGAATCGACTGGATTGAAGTTGACTTCGGAATCGCCAATGTGCACTTGGGCTGTGAAGCATGCACAATGGCTGATCAACCGTTATTTGATGGGTTCGGATGGCAAGAAGGCCAATACCCGAAGATGGTCGCGTGACTACGGTGGATCACTGTTCATGTTTGATGAATGAATTGATGCGAAACTGCCGCACAGCAAGAAAGTGACGGTTCCCAAACGAGGATCTCAATGGTTCTCTGGAGCCTGTGAGGTTATCCTTGAGAATGCAAATGGCGCCTTCAAGGTGTGAACTGTGAAGCGGAGACCTCAGTCTCAACATTGGAGTGCCACTGGCATCATAAAAATGCCATCCTTGCCCTGGCTTGAGTGGATTCTGCTGTTTTTGTAATGCCACCTGGTCTTGGAGTGAAAGGCCGAGTGAAGCCACCTCCTGGATTGGAACGAATTGATGAAGGTGACGAACCCGACGAGAATGACGCGCTTGAAGACATGGTCCGTGTTGGTCCGAGTGAGAGTGTTACTGAGCAAGAGTTGCTTGAGAATGATGGCACGGATCGCGCGCCCACTGCGATTGAGCACGAGACTTCGGAGGTGAGTGAAGAAGCACCCCGGAAGAGTGCCAGGATTGATCCTGATGCTCCGGTGAGTCAGCGTCAAGCAAGCAAATAAGGATTTCTGCAGTTCATCACATGGAGTGATTCCCGCTTGCAAATGGCTTGCTTTTTCGACTGTTGGAGCCGACGAGGTCGTCGGAAAGGATGGTACGAAAACTGGTGTCGAAGTGAATGCCAAGACATGCGGCTCTCAGAGCCACTGCTATGGAAGAGTCAGTTCCCTCCGGAGGCAGAGAAGAAGGAGGGAATGATGGAGATGAACTCAATGAAGAACTTCGACACATTTATGATGAGGTTGAGATTTAAGACTGCAGCCAAGAACAGATAGATGAAGCACTTGACGGTCGACGTGTCAAGGTTTGGAAAGATCAGGATGGGCTAAAGTGCAGAGTGGTTGCGCGTGGGTGGTTCAGAACGGTGAGAAGAGTCAAGAAGATAACTTGTTTGCATGGCAATGGCGAGAAACTGGGGCATCACCTTTGGCGATGTCAGCACTGCCTTCCTGCGTGCAGCAATGTCCGGTGACGTGTTCGTTGGCCGCCGAGGAATTCTATCCTGAATGCAAATGCCTCTGGAAACTGAAGAAGGCAATGTACGGCCTACGACAGGCGCCCAGAGGCAATGACCTCGAAATTGGGATTCAGGAGATGCAAGAGTGATCCGAGTCTGTGCTGCCATGAAATTGGCAAACTGTATGTCCTTGCATATGGCGATGATCTGTTGGTCGTTGGGACTGACGAAATGAAGAAAATCTTCATGTTTCAGCTGTCTGAGGAAGTGTTGCTGAAAGAGACCGGCCAGCTAGTGCCAGGGACTGCGCACACCTTCCTTGGGAGAAAGCTACGACACAATGGGGACTCGATTGATGTGTGCAAGCGCAAACATACACTGATTCGATCCTTGATCGCCTTGATCTGTACGGTATGAAGCATGCCAAGCGTGTTGCGACGACTGGCACCGTGACGATTGCTAAGACTGTGCCTGACACGCAACTGGGTCCTGAAGAGCACTCTGTGCACAGGACTGCCGTTGGCAAACTGTTGTGGTTGGCACTGAACAGATGTGATATATTGCCTATGCGACTAAGGAGCTGAGCCGGGATGTGGCTGGTCGACAATGCAGAGTGTCGCTGCGGTATCTGATTGGTACCAAGTGTAAGTCTTAAGACTGCGTCCATCTTATCAGTTGTTTGATGGCAACTGTGCTCTGGATGTGAGTGTCCTTGTGAATTCTGGCTGGGCTGGATGCTCAAAGGCTCGGACAGCACCAGCGCATTCACTGTGAATGTTCTCGGGTGCAACATGATGAGCACTGCGAGGACTCAAGGCACACTGGCCTTGTCGTTTGGCGAAGAGGAGCTGTATGCGATCGGCCAAGACGTGTCTGAGGCACTGTGCCTTAGGTCAATGTTGCTTGAAGCCAGGCTGGCGAATGCAGAATGGCATTTGCTCAAGACGGGACAAAGATTGGCTTGGTCGCACAAGGGAATGTCTGCGTGAGTGTGTGTTACTGGGGAAAGTGATTGATCTTGGTTGGTTGCTCTAGACTGCTAGGATTGTATAGTGGAATTTTGCACCCTCCCTCCCCCTCGCCTCCCTCCCTCTTTGGGCATGTCCCGGCACCACTGGATGCCGTACACAAAGTGGGTGTGAGGCGAGGCAACTTCGGAATATTATATTGCTCACGTCGATGAATGTCGGCGAGCCAATCTTGTAGAGTCTTGTCGTTCGTCGTCTGAACTTAGAAGAATACCACAGGATGCATAGATTCCATGACGGTCGTTGCATCCCACAGATAAGCATTAGTCCGGGACTGCAGTCACAGAGTCAGCAACGCAACCAACTACTGTGCCGAGCGTGACTGTCGTTGTTCCTCGATTGGCATCCCGGATCTGTGTCCTTCAGGTCTACAGCCCGAGATGCGCCGCGTCTCGGTCATCTTCCTGTCTATCCGAGGAACGGGAAGTCGCATCAGTTTTGGATTTCAGACTGCGTGCGGCGGGGGTTAGTTAAGCCCGGAAGCCTGTCAACGCCAGGGTAGCTGCGTCACCTCCATGCCGATCATTTGAGAACTGTTCCGACGAGGCTCCTGTTTTCACTCGATGCAGGCCTCAACCCTGGATCGCTGACACCCACGGGAGATGATCTGCGTACACAACAGGCACCCTCGTCCAATCTGTACAGAGTTGATTCAGTGGTGACCCAGCATAAACCCGTTTGCAAAAGCCTGATTCCCACCAGCAGCCGCACTTCGGAGACATGACATTGCAAGTTCCAGGGTTCGGTGTTGTGTGAATTGGTTGCTTTGCTGTTTTTTGAGCGACTGTGTTTTCCCGAGTGTGTGCGTCGCGAAGCCTCAAGCCCGAAGCGCCAGGCCTGCTAGGCAGCGAGTCCCTCCGGGCTGCGATGTATGCGAAACCTCGATGTGACAAGGTTTGTTCTCAGAGCGAAGTTTCTGCATTCGATGGATTTGCTCAGGTCGTGAAGCTCTTGCAGCAGTCTTGCTATGCCTTCGAAGGCTGGTCGCCGACGGCATGTAGCAGTGTAATCACAGACGATTTTGCCCTTTTCAACGGCTCATCGGCAATGTCAACACATCCTACCGTGTAATTTGGCATTGCAAGGGTAAGGGTGCATCAGGAAGATGTGCAATACGACCTGAACAGAGTCTGGGCAGAGTTGTCGGTGTGGCTTGCAGGCTGAACAACATACGAATGCAATGGTATGCCGTGCAAAAAAGTCTTCCACCCCTGACGGAGGTAGCGTCAACAAGTTCCTTGTGGATGACAAAGGCCTGTGGAGCTTCACCATCAACAAGCTTCCACTCTGTGTATCTTCCATCTGTTGAGAAAGTTTAACTGTCAGGAGCTGTAGCACGGCTGTAAATGGCTGCGTAGCAAAGGGCCGATATCATACTCCTGACGGATCATTTCACCTTGTTTTCGTATGCCATTCCTTTGGTTTGGCATACCTGGCACAAAAATTTCATTTCGTAAGTGCAATGACGCACCAGATTGCCCACACTTTCGTTATCATCACCACGACCAACATCATCATATTTCACCACTCTACAACTAAATCTGTCCGAAAGTGTACCCTCCACTTTACCAGTCAGTGTGCGTGCGTGCATGCATGCGTGCGTGCGTGGGTGGGTGGGTGGGTGGGTGCGTGCGTGCG